TTGGCTGCTGGTGCTGGGGCTGGCCTGGCTGGGACCAGTGTTGCGGGGCGAGGAGAAGGATGGGGAGATGGAGGTGGAGGAGGAAGATGGAATGCTCTCAGATGAGCTCGGGGAGGAGGATGGTGTCCTGGTGCTGCACGAACACAACTTTGCCCGTGCCCTGAGTGAGCACCGGCTTCTGCTGGTGGAGTTCTGTAAGTGCCCCACTGTGGGCAGGGGTATGGGCAGAACCAGACACGGACGTGGGTGCAGAAAGGGGCACAGGATGGGGATGTGGGCAGGGGCACAAGGCATGGATGTGACAGGACAGGGTATGGTGCATGGCATGAGGACCGGGACACGGAGCAGTGACACAGGCAGAGGCATGGGGCAGGGGATGTGTAATGGGAATGGGACACAGGGCATAGGCACATAGTTGGGGTGTGGGACATGTGCCCTGGAGCAGGCTAGAGCCCAACATGCTCACGCAGCCTTTACATGCCCTGGCAACCCACCGAGCCCACCCTGGGGACCAACCACCAGCCCTTGCCCACAGACGCGCCCTGGTGCCGGCACTGCCAGCGGCTGGCCCCTGCCTACACCGAGGCAGCTGTGGCACTGAGGAACGAGTCCAGCCCGGCACGGCTGGGCAAGGTGGATGCCACAGCACAGACAGCCCTGGCCAAGGAGTTTGGCATCACCTCCTACCCCACACTCAAGCTCTTTCGTGACGGCAACCGCACCCACCCCATCGACTACACCGGTAGGGCTGTGGTCACGGCACTGTTGTGGGGATGCTGTGATGGGTGCTGGGGTGGGATGGGTGTGCAAGGATGGGTGGCAGTGGGTGATGGTGAGATGGGTGTCAGTGTCCTCATGGGGACTGCAGGGTGGTGATGGAGAGCAGGTGATGGCATGGGGTGATGGCAAGCGGGTGGCTGGGGGCTGATGGCACAGCGTGGGTGCAGCCCAGTGAGGGTGGCCGGGGTGATGGCCCCCATGGCAGGCCGCATGGACATGAAGGGCATCGTGCGCTGGATGCAGCGTCGGGCCAGCCCCAGCGCCATGCTGCTGCAGGACACTGACACCGCCAGCACCTTCATCAGCTCCCAGGACCTGGTGGTCGTCGGCTTCTTCAAGGTGGGTTGGGGTGGGTAAGGGCTGGACCGGGGCTGTGCCCATGGCCATGGCTGCTCACGGGTGGCTGTGCAGGACCTGGGGGGCGAGGCGGCCCAGGTGTTCTATGAGGTGGCCATGGAGATGGTGGATGTGCCATTTGGTGTGGCTGAGGCGACTGAGCTCTTCCAGGCGTACGGGCTGTCGGCCGACACCGTCTGCCTCTTCAAGGTGAGGAGGGAGTGCAGGGGCTGTGGGCACATCCTGCCCACCGCAGCCCTCACCGTGCTCTGCACTGTCAGTTCAACGAGGGTCGGACAGACTTCCCCATGGACCCAGCACAGGGGCTGGATGCGGCTGAGCTCACCCAGCTGATCCGCGCCCACAGCCTGGAGCTGGTGGTGGAGTTCACCAGAGAGGTACAGCCTGTCCCTGCACCCATCCTTGTGGAGCCAGGGCCCTGCCCTCACCCTCCTCATACTCCATAGACCTCCGACCAGATCTTCAGTGCCAAGATCCCACACCACATGCTGCTCTTCCTCAACAAGTCATCGTCGGCACAGCTGGCACTGCGGGATGGCTTCCAGGCAGCTGCTGGTGCCTTCAGGGGCAAGGTGAGCAGGTCCCATGGTGGGGACCCACAGCCGCAGGTGACACCAGCCTTATGTCACCCACCCATCTCCCAGGTGCTGTTTGTGGTGGTGGATGTGGCCGGGGATGGTGCCAACGTCCTGACCTTCTTTGGCATGACCCCCGCTGATGCCCCCACCCTACGCCTAGTCAAGATGAAGAACAACCGCAAGTACCGCATGGAGCAGGATTCCTTCTCGGACACAGCCATAAGCACCTTCATCCAGGCTGTGCTGGATGGCAAAGTGAAGGTGAGCGGTGCGGCACTGTGCCAACCAGCATCAGGGGTGCTGGTTGCTCCAAAGCCTGATGGACACACCAACTTGTGCTGTCAGGCCTGAGGATCTGGAGGGGGGGGTATGGGGAAGGAGGCAGGGGATCATTGATGTGGAGACACACAGAGCTGGGGTGGTGGCGGCAGAGGGGAAGCAGCGGTCCGATGTACAGGAGCACCCCCTGGCTGCCGTGGGGCCCTGGCACCGCTCAGCCCAAGCTGTGGCTGTCCCGACTGTCCCCACAGCCCCACCTGCTGAGCGCGGAGCCACCCGAGGACTGGGACACGCGGGCTGTTAAGGTGCTGGTGGGCCAGACCTTCGAGCAGGTGGCGTTTGATGAGACCAAGAACGTCTTTGTCAAGTTCTGTAAGTGCTGGGACCCCCATAAGCCCCTGGGCTCAGCCTCCCTGCCGCAGCCCCAGTCCCGCCTCAGCCCCCTCAGCCTGACCCACGCAGAGCCGTGTCCCTGCCTGGTCCCCGGCACTGTGCCTGCCCCACAGATGCGCCGTGGTGCTCCCACTGCCAGGCGATGGCGGCAGCCTGGGAGGAGCTGGGGGAGCGCTACAAGGACCACGAGGACATTGTCATCGCCGAGTTGGATGCCACGGCCAACGAGATGGAGAACGTCACCATCACCAGCTTCCCCACCCTCCACTACTTCCCCGCGGGGCCAGGCAGGAAGGTGGGTGAGGGCACCAGAGGGTGCTGTGCCAGAACCCAGGTGATGGGGTCATCATCATCCATCTTTCCACCTCGTGGCTGCAGATGGTTGAGTTCAAGGGCTCCCGCGACGTGGAGACCTTCTCCAAGTTCCTGGAAAACGGGGGAATGCTGCCCGAGGAGCCACCTGTGGTGAGCGGGGTCTTCCCACCCCCCTGGGGTGCCTCCAGCCTCTGTGGGGTGGGGGACAGATCCTGTGGGATGGGGACAGGCAGGAGCTGTGTCTGTCCATGGCTCACTACTGCCTTCTCCAGGTGCCCAAGACCCCTGAGAACGGCACAGGCAGCAAGGAGCAGAGCGCATCCCGGGATGAGCTGTGAGCCCTGTCCCAATCCAGTGCGTGCTATAAACCACCTGGAAACCATGTGGGCTCTGGTCTGTGTCTGCAGCTCCACAGCACCATGGCAGCAAGTCTTGGGGAGCACCCACGTCTTGGGGACAGGGCAGGGCTGACGATCAGCAGAGGAGGGTGCAGCAAGGGGCCCTTGAAGGGCCCTCTGCCTCCCCAGGGTGCTGGGCTGGCACAGCCCCATGTGTGCTGCAGCACTTGGACTGGCAGCCCTGTGATGGCACAGGGTGGCCAGGGCTGAGGAAACACAGCTGTGACAGGGCAGTCTCCCTCACGCTGGGCTGCCAGGGTGCAGGTGAAGGGGGCTGGCGGAGCCCCTGTTTCATAGCTTGCAGGCAGCTCTCCCACCCCAGGCCTGGGCTCCACAGCCATGCACCAGCCCAACACGGGGCTCCATATGCTCCTCTTCAGCCTGGCTTGCAACCTCTTGGACCCCCCCAGCATCCCCTCAAGGCCCATCACCATCCCCTCTCCCCTGGGTTTGCTGCTCCCTGACCCCGAGCTGTTCCTCCGTGGGAAACATGTTGGTTTCCTGGGGCCGGTACCTGCCCTGCCACCCCTCCATGGAGCCCATCACTGCCCCAGCCTCATCATGTGCCCAGGCCCTTTGCCATCCTGCTCCATCTGCTGGCTGCGGGGGCCACGGCGTCTATTCCACAGGGAAGAAAGCAGCAGGCAGTGGGACATGGGGTTTTATTCACTTTATCCAAGTACCTTTGAAAAGACCATTGTACAAGTCAGCACATGAGAATGTAGAGAAGGGGGCTGCGCGGCCACTGTACATATTTACAGGGGACCCCCTGAGAAAAAAGGGGGAGACGGAAATTCCGGGCACGTTCACAACCTCACCAGACACAACCATCAGAACTCAAAAAACCAGGGAGGGAAACCCCTCCTAACGCTGTTCCTGGGCTGAAAACGATTGTGGATTTTGCTGGACTTCATGTAGAGTATAGGCAAGTCACAGAACCGTGTTTTAAAGGCACTCGGTGACATATACAACGGGCTGAGTCACATCCCGGCGCCATGCTACAGGGTCCCCAGCAGCCCCAATGCCAGGAGCAGTGCTGGGCAGGGCAAGTGTCAATGTGGAAGCCCCATGGCTTTGGGCGCTGCCTTGGTTTCAAAAGGGCTGGTCTCAAAAGAGCTGGCACAGAGCTGTAGCTGTGCTGGAGCAGGGCAGGGCCAAGGCCAGGGTGGTGGGAGCACCAGGGCAGCCCTCAGCTTTCTTGCATCTGAGTAATCCCAGGAGGCTTCCAAGGTGCTGCTGGCTGCCCCACTGGGTGCCCTGGCTCTACAGGAGCCCCACATACTGGCATCAATCACCCCTCTGCTCTCACAGCAGGCTGCAGTGCTCTCATGCTGCCTCCTGAGACACAGAAGCCAACAAGATGCAGGACTCTAAAAATAGACATTTCTTGTCCTCAACTTTAGTGTCTTATCAGTTCTATCCCCTATGTTTCTCCTAAGAAGAGTCCCCTGTCCAGAGCTGGAGCTCAGCATCAGGAGCTACAGTGAACCAACCCTTCTCCAGGGGCACACTGTTGGGGGGATGAGCACATGGGCTGTGGGATGCCAGAACCCAGCCTGCCAGCCCACCTCCGAGCCGGTCCTCCCAGCCCCAAGAGCTGGCACCGACCCTTCTATCCCTCAGGATTTACTCAGTCACAAGAAAGCTCAGGAGGAAAAAAAACATCCTACCATGTGCAGCAGCTGAGACTGCCAGAGAGGGGAGAGACCGACTCAGTCCAAGTGGCTCAGTGATGTTCCGAGGTGAGCAGCAGCCTCTCTGGAGCGGGGCTGTGCCATCCACACTGGGGGCCAGGGCAGGGTGCTGTGAAAGCAAGGAGCAGACGGAGTCTGATGGGTGGCTGTCTGCTTTGGGCGAGCTCTGCAGTACCTGTACGCTTTACATTTACATAAGAGCACTGTGACATTGGAAGTATTTTCCTTTTATTACAATATATCAAAAATATGCAGCTTTAGTAAACAAGGTCATATTACACTTTCTAATGCACTGTACAATGCTACATTACACTTATATTCGGTATGCAGAGGGAGCCCAGGCTCCCACTGGCAGGTCTGAGGGGTGAAACGGTGTCTACCAGCAACCCGGAGCTTGGCCAGGTCCGTGCCGGTGCAGGCTGCCGCTCTCCGCCCAGTGCCCATGGCAATGGCATCACCAGCATCCGCCCCAGACCTTCTCCTCCGGTCCCAGAGTCCTTCACAGTCCTGTCCTCGTGCCTTGGCAGACCTGGAGCCTAGTCGATCTTTTCCACCTTCCCAATGATCTTCTCTTCAAAGATGGGCAGGATGGTGTCATCCTCCCGCACCTCCTCGAAGACCACACCACAGTCAAACTCGTCACTCACCTTCTTAAAGTAATACCTGAAAAATAGAAACATGGGGGAGAGAGTTAAAAACCATGTGGTGTGTGGGGAGCAGCTCCCCCAGATGTGGAGGCAACCTGGACCACACTTCTGCCCTGCAGAGTGAGCTAAAAAAGCATGGTCAGAATCCATGCTAGCACATTCCGGAGCTCCAACCGTGAATCCAAGCCCATTCACAGCTTTCTCCAAAGCAATGGATGAGGCAGTGGTACTGGTGAAGGGTTGCTAGGCATGCTTTTCCACGGCAACTCCTACTTGGAAGGGAGAACTCTGAGAGCTACTTGCCCCATGCCTGGCTGCTTTGTGATTCTCACAGGACCCAACCTCCCTATTCTCACTGGAAGAAACTTTGGGAGGAGCCAAACCAGCTCTGGGAGTCAGAGTGTTACCCACAGCATCACTGAGCACTGGCTGATGCTGCTCCTCACCAGCCCAGGACCCCACAGGGCACCTCAGCAGCTTCTGCTGAAGGTGCAAACTGTGATACAAGATGCTTTTGCCAAAAAACCCAATCTCCCTTGTCCCTGTAACCTGCCTCTTAAAACAGCCAAGATGCCTTGGCCATGCTGCCACATCCCCACCACAGCACGCCCTGCGGGAGCCCTCCTCCACCACGCTGCTTCACTTTGGTGGGGGCAACATGGCATCTGCTAGGGGTTGCTGATGGTCTGCGGCACCACAGCACGCACGGGGAGCAGCCCTTACCTGTAGTTCCCTTTCTTGGTCAGCAGCTCCTTGAACTGTCCCAGAGTCACCACGCGCCCCTTGACGAAGGTGCGGTAGGGGATGGGCTCTCCGCAGAAGTAGTAGGCGACCACGATGTTCTCACATGGCTGGGACGCGCCACTGCCTGGTCTCTTCTGAGGCTTCAACCTGGTGTGCACGAACACAAGAGACCTGCTGAGTATGAGCCCACAGGGCTCAGCACCACTGATGTGGGTACCCATCTGGGTACAGGGCTGCCCAGGAGAGCAGTGCAGGTCAGGTCCCACTGGAGGTGACAGATTTGGCTGGAGGAAACACAATACATCCTTTGCTCCCACCACCAGCTCTCTTGACACACATATGCACACTGAGGCTGGTAAAGAAGGAAAAGGCACTTGTTGGAATGGCTGGATAGGGCCAGACCACAGTTACAAGGTCGGTGCAGCTCACTGAGGTTCTAGCTTGGCCCTTTCACACTGAACAAACCTATCTACATGCTTTTTGCTGTGCTTTCCAAAGCACTGCTGGTCTGGTGAGTCATCAGTAAGCTCCACACAAGACAAAGCATCCCAGGCCCATGGCAACAGACCCAAGTCACCATCAGCATGCTCCTGGCATGCACTGAACAGGCAAGGCTGGAAGTGTGCTTGGGGATGATAATGCAAACACTGCTCAGACTGCTTGGGATTACTGTTGCCATGGCCAAAATAGCTCAGCATGGCTTTCTGATGACCTATATCCACAGGGCTGTGCAGACAGCACTGCTCCTGCTCCCCATGGCACCTCTCCCATGGGAGATGGAGGTTGGAGGAGACAGAGGTCCCAGTGGGGCATGCCCTGGAGGCTTTGCTGCCTGTCCCATTTGCACAGTGTAGCAAGGCTGCTGCCATCCCTAAAACCTCAATGACTTTCAACCTGCTGTGTTCTCCTGACCCTCAGAATATTGGTCTGCTCTCTGCTTTCAGCCCCCACACTGGGGTTTTGCTACATGGTGCCATCACTGGACCGCGAGCATCAGCCCAGTCCTAACCCCATTTTCAGCGGCAGATGAAAGTAGTTGTAATAAAAATCAGGGTACTTTGTCCTTCTGTAGAGCTTCTCATCTGGGGTGCTGTAAATGCTGCACAAACACTGGAGCAGCCTACACAAACTGGTAAGTTGGCATGTGTGGTCTCAGCCAGATGCAGCCTTCCCTTTTGACGTCACATAAAACAAATTCAGCAGCTTTAAGAAATGGTTTTAAAAGCACGCTGGATAAAAAGGATGATTTTGTATTTACATGGCTGGAAAGTTGGTGTAAAAAACAGAATTTGCCAAGCACATGAGGTAATTGCAGCTTTGGAAATGACTCTGACCTTAACCTTTAAACACTGGCTCACGGGCAGAGCACCTACTTAATGGTATGCCCACATAAACACTGGCATTGCAAACCAAGACTGAGCACAATCTTTACACCTCTTTCTATAGGCATGAGAGGTCTAATGTTCAACTGAACAACCTTCCTGCTGCCTGCTCTGCCTGGGGGACCTTGGGAGAAGACGCAGCATCCTGAGAGGCAAGGGTCCACTCCTGGTGCCAGCACTGCCCTCAGAGCCTCTCCCATCCCCATATCAAAGCACAGGATGCCCTTTAGCTAGAAAAACATTCCGGAATTGAGTCATCCTTAGGAAAAAAAATAAAATAAAACGAGCCATTTAAAAGAAAAATGGGTCATAAATTCAGGCAAATTCTGTGAACCCTGCAAGCCAGAAGTTAATTGAAGGGGTTTGGAAAACCTCAAAGTCCCCAAGCTTCCCTTAATCCTGCTAGAAACAAGTCATGACTAAGAGAGAGCTGCTGTGTGCCTGGGGATGTAGGGACACAGCTTCACACTCTGTGCAGGCAGCAAAGCTGGTTCCAGGGCTGCCATTCCCCTTTGCCTGGGGAAGTGCAGAAGACACCCTTGAGCTCTGCACAGAAGCAGCAAGAGTGGGATGGTGCCAGTGGCTGGAAGCCTCTTTCTTCCTCCTCCTCCTCCTCCTGCCATGTAATTCATCCCTGAAAGGCTGTTTCTGAACATGCTCAGCCCAGCTCCAGTGCTCACCTCTTTCCAGAGCAGAGATGTGCCCCAAAATGATTCCTGAAATGATGCTCCAGAGCAGAAACTCTGCACTGCTTCACAGAGCTAGAGGTAAAACAACCCCCATGGCTTTTGGATGTCCCTGCTATGCCAAAAATCACAGTCTGGGTTGGAAGCAGCCTTGCAGATCATCCAGTTCCAACCTCCTGCCATGTGCAGGGACACCTTGCACTAGAGCAGGTTGCTCCAAGCCCCATCCAAACTGGTCTTGAACACTGCCAGGGATAGGGCAGCCACAGCTTCTCTGGGCAACCTGTGCCAGTGTCTCACCACCCACACAAGAAAGAATTCTTCCTAATACCTAATCTAAATCTCCCCTCTTTCAGTTTAAAGCCATTCCCCCTTGTCCTGTCACTATGTGCCCTTGTCAAAAGCCCCTCTCCAGCTTTCTTGTCAGCCCTTTTAGGCACCGGGAGCTGCTCTAAGGTCTCCCCAAAGCCTTCTTTTCTCTAGGCTGAACAAGCCCAGCTCTCTCAGCCTGTCTCCAGAGCAAAGGTGCTCCAGCCCTTGCAGCATCTTTGTGGCCTCCTCTGGTTGGCTTTCTGAGCTGCAAGTGCACACCGCTGGGTCATGTTGAGTTTCCTGTCAACCAACAACCCCAACTCCTCCTCAGGGCTGCTCTCAGTCCAGCCTGTGTTTGTGCTTGGGACTGCCCAGAGCCAAGTGCAAGACCTTGCACGTGGCTTAGTTCAACTTCATGAGTTTTGCACAGTCCCACCTCTCAAGCTTCAAGGTCCCTCTGGATCCCATCCCTTCCCTCCAGCATGCAGATGGCACCACACAGCTTGGTATCATTGCCGAACTTGTTGAGGTGGAGCTCAATCCCACTGTCCACATCACTGACAAAGATGTTAAACAGCACTGGTCCCAGTACTGAGTCTGAGGAATGCCACTCGTCACTGGCTGTGTCTATACTTATAAATTGAGTCACTGACCACGACTCTTTGAGTGTGACCATCCAGGCAATCCCTTATCCACCAAGTGGTTCATCCATCAAATCCATGTTTCTGCAGTTCAGAAACAAGGATGTCGTGTGGGACAGTGTCAAATGCTTTGCACAAATTGACGTAGGTGACATCAATTGCTCCTATCCAGCAGTGCTGTAACCCCTAGCAGGCTGAAGCAGAGCTGAGGAATAAAGAATCACTGAAAATGGAATTTTCCAAGAGCTCCTCTCAGGAGGATGAGACAACACAACTGTCTCCGCTTCCGTCATCTCCTGAGACCATGGCTTACCCAGACAGGCCACCAGACTGTCTCTGAGCCCTGCCTCATTAAAGCTTCCACCTGCACCTATTTCCAGGGTGGCAGTGTGACCCAGAAACATAGTCAGGGACCCCCCCCGCCCTTTCTGGGATCACCTCCGTTTGCTGCATTTGTCACAAGCAAAAAATATTACCCATTAAGGAACCAGCAGCACTCATCTGACTCACTGCATCTGCATTTCAGTCCTGGTTTCTCAGCCGCATAAACCAGGGGTGCCATGACAGGGAAACTAAGTCTGTGTTACAGCACCAATCTAACCTTGCTGCCACACAGAGGTAAGGCACCTGGTTCACTCCAATATTCTCCCCATTTGCTATGGAACAGCAAGAGAAAGGCTTTTTCTGCAAAAGAAGTGTGATTTATGGAAGAATATCTATGATTCCCAGTACAGGCACTAGAGGTGCCTCCTTTATCTTTAGCAGGGCAGTGCTGGGGTGGGAGCGAGACTGCTGGCACCCCAGCCAGGGCAATGAGCTGGGAAAGGCCACTGCTGGTGAGGGCTCTGCCAGAGGACACATGGGTAACTGCTGGAAAGCTCAGCCTGGCCATACCAAGCTGGCATGGTGCACTCTCTTCCCACAGCCAGCTCAAGCTGGTGCCTCAAGGACACCTCCACGTCTCCTGCCACTGGCACTGTGCTTCCCCAAGGCTGCTGGCAAACCTAGGACACTGGTTCCAATCTCCCAGAGTTCTTCAAAGCTCCCAACTGAAATAAACTGTTTTCACATGAGCTCTCCTCTCCGTTTCTCCTTTGCTCTCAGAAGAATGATGGGGTCTATTTTCAGGCAGACTCCTGTGTTAACCATGGCAGCAGCCTTCTAAAACGCTGCTAGCTCAAGCTTGCTTCAACTGGAGCACCCAATCCTGCCAAAATCCAGCAGAGAGATTTCAACATCCACAAATCTTTGGCTCCTTGGTTACCACTGCATCCATTCTTACTTGCTACTGGGCATGGACACATCTGCCTTTCATGAACAATTCCCTGCTGGCACACATGGCTCCTTGGTTTTCCACACACGGAGCAGGTCAGGGGGATCCCTGCACCATCAGGAGAAGAGCCAGACCTCATGAAGAGGCAGTGTAAGCAGAGCAGCCCAGCACTGGAACTGCTCAGCCTGTTCTCCCACTGGTCTGCATGGCCTTTACCACAATGCTGTGGGGTTCCTACAAAAGCTACACTTACCACACATGCCAAACTACTATGAGAGTATTAACTGCATATGCATATAACCCAGGTCATTGTTTCCAAAGTGTGTACCTGCATCTAGGTATTTCTGGGGAAGGTGCATGAATTTAGTACAATTGTAAACAACCGTAGTAATAAACCTGATCCAATTACACCAACTGAAAGGTAGATCAAATAAACTTGGCTTAACCTGACCTGGGAGAGCTCTCTAATTTTACCTGGCTTTCAATCAATGCTGTGACATCAAGATGCAGAAGTCTGCTACATGGTCACTGCAAGCAAAAATAACTTGAGCTCAGCAATTAGAAGAGCTTTTTTTAAATTACACTTGTGTTTCTAAGAGCCAGACTGCAGTTCCAGGTTTTCAGAAGACAGCTATAAAGCCGTGAAAGGTTTTTAATGGACAAAGTGCTTTTAGCTGTTAACAGTAATTATCTAGCACTCCCCAAATGCTCTTCATCTGACAGCTGTGTGCCTTGCAAATAACGTCCCCTGAAAGATAAACACAGGAGCAGGAGAATTAGCTCTGCAACAGGCATTAAGCTGAGTCACAAAAAGATGCAGTGACTTGGGTACAGCCATGCAGTGAGTCAGTGCTGCAGCAGCAGGACTACGGTGCACTGCTCTCATCCAGGTGCCATGAGCATCTTTTGCCGGAAGTCTGCGGGAGATGTAGATAAAGAGCAAATAAATATTCCTCTTCTGCACTTAAATCTGCTGCATTCTGCTAAATCCTGCTCCTGTACCAACCTTTGAAATCATCACCTGAGTGTGAATGAGCAGAGAGTCAGCAAACACTGGGGAGAGAGATCTCCCATGCCATGCCCCTTCTAGATACACTCCCCCTGTCCAGCTCCTCAAGCTCTCAGCAGCCCTTTCCCAACTCTGCCAGGAGCATTTCCAGGTTCTCCATCCACAAACCACAAACCCAGGCCCTCAAGGTGGGTTTTGGCATTTGCACCATGATGTCAGAGCAACTGGTGCAGATTTCTCTGACCCAGATGGTGCTGGGAGCTGGAGACCACAGCAGAGGATGTGGACTTCTCCTTCAGCTGCCACCTTCAGAGCAATCTCCCCCTTCCCTACCATTCACAATCAGACCCTACCTTTGTTTAAGGGGGAGTTTTCCAGCCCTTTTCTCTTCCTCCTCCAACCTCCTGCGAGCTTCTTCCAGCTGGGTGAGAGGGTTGGGGGCTGGATTGGGTGGCATGGTGGGATCTTGGATGAATGGGTGAGAAGGCTGGACGACGTTTCGGAGCTGGGCACTGACCCATGGATGCACCGCAACAGGTCGTTCAATGGAGAGGGATCGGACCATATCATGGGACAGCTGCTTCTTAGCACCAGAAGAGCTGCACACAAACACAAAGGTTTTACATGAATCAACAAGATGCTTTGCACAGGTACACAGTCACTCCTAAACAGACCTAATGCTTTTTCATCTGGACACAGGCACCCCTGGGAAGCTCCTTATAGCATGGCTTCTGAAGGAAAGGGGAGCACCATCCACCTCTAGAGAAGATTTCAGGAGAGCAAGTCCTGAGACATCAGGGTGAGCAAGCCAACCCTGACACAAAGCCCACAGATCTGTTTAAGGGCTCTCATCAAGCCCACAGTACATAAAAATAAAACCAGCAAAAGGCAGCTCCACCATTTGTGACATTCCCCCAGAAGATGCCCTTCTACATTCTGCCAACGCTGCCAGCCTGGGAGCCTCTCCATGACCTGCTGGTCAGCATCCAGGGAAGGGGATGTTGCAGAGATGTGCTTGTACTTCCCCAACTCCAGCAGCAGAACCTGTTGCCTTACTTCACAGTGGCCTGGCACTGCCTATGGCCCTGGCACTCAGTCCCAGCTGCCTGCAGTGCAGCTCATCCTGACCTCTATCATCAAGCAAGAGAAGAAACCACCAGCAGTTTGACCACTCAGCCACCAGCGCAGCAGTTCCAGAAGGGACAAGACCCCGGATCCCTCTTGTCAACACCCAGCAAGTGCTGTGTTTTGCCAGACTGACCAGACTGTGATTAAGGATCAGTGCCCATCAGAGTTATGTTTGACTACAGAGAGATTCCCGAGACAGCCATATCCTTGGCTCCACTCTAGGCAAGTGAGGCCATCCCAGAGGATGCTCCCAGCAAGCCAAAATGCTGGGCAACCCTGAACTGTGCTAAACTGCTTACTCAGGACCAATGGCTAAAGTGCATCAGGTTCCTACGTTTCTATCAGCACCCTGCAGGAGTAACAGGTATTTACAAACAGGTGAAAATCCTGCATGCCATGTTATCCACCTTGGAACCACAGAGATAATTCATGAGATTCCCTGGTGCTGCAATCTTCCGCCATGGCCTCAAGTTATCCTTCAGAAAAAACCAGCCCTAATAGCCCCTAAGCAATCCTCAGTCTCCAAAGGGTCTAAACCCTTGTGCCTGGTGGATTCTTGTCTTCCTGAGATCTCCAGGAACACGGCAGAGTGTTAGTCAGCCTAGACACCCATGCTTTGTGCAGGGGATGCAATACCATAGCATGAAGACCCCTCGCTCTGCTCGCCCTTACCCATGGTTTGTTTTCTTATGCCTGCTGATCTCCTTCTCTCCTTCTATGATCCACTGAAGGATCTTCTGGTTTCTCTCCACGTCTTCAGGAGATCCTGGCATCTCATAGTTGGCACCATCACTTTTCCCTGAATCGGTCTTCTTAACATTTCTTTTTGAGAGCAGACTTGCTTTCCCACTGCAAGAACAAAGCTTGAGATATTAGCGCTTTGCCTAAGCCAAACCACTGCAGACCATGGCAGAGGATGGACACGTCTATCTCCAGACACATTCATTCCTGCCAGGGTCTGGTGCTCCTGCAGTGCAGATGTGGCCCTGGCTGCCTTCCAGAGCCCTCTGGCGTTACTATAGCTCAAAAACCAACCGTGAGCCCAAGAGCAAGACTGGCTAGACCTAGGCACAGCAGACTTCTCTGTCCAGCCACCTGCAAGGCCTTCTCCTTAGGCCAAATGAGCCACAGCAACATGGCAAGATCTCCTGCCACAAGAAGGGCTGTGTTAAACCTCCAGCTCTTTGCTCAGAGCAGGAGGTTCATCCTGGTGCTGCAATCTGTTGCTGCTTCTCCATGCCAAATCACTGCTTCAAACCTGGACCTTTCCCATCACCCCACAGGTTTACCGATACCCCAAACTGCTGACTTGCCATGCCCAGCATTTCCTTCTCACCCCAAATTGAATCAAAGCTTCTCATCATGGTGGAAGATCACATCCTAGCAGGGTGGGCTGCCTTCTGTGGCCTCTCATGCACTGGGAAGCCCAGCCACCTCACAGACTGTAGCCAGATGGATGCCAGGCAGTAGCCATCACTACTGTACAGAGGTTTCTACAGAAACCCCATGTGCCCAGCTGAGCTGCCCCATGTTCACAAGGCCATGTGGAACTTACGCATGCTGGCCAGTCCTTGTCACAGCCTGTAATTTCATGGGACCCCCACTATTGTAATCATCCACTTGCTGTACTCCATAGGACTTCCCTACCTCTGTTTCTGCATGCTCACTAACACACATAGGAGAAATAATCTTAACACCACAGAGGAGTCAGAGGCCTTCAGATAGCTTTGCTGATTTTTTTGGGAAAACCCTGGGGAGGGGTTGCTGAGGATCTACAAAGGCAGGATGAACTGACAACTTCTCTCTTCTCCCCACTTGAGGACTAGTGGGTATCAAATGAAATCCTCCAGGAGCAGGTTCAGTGCAAACAAAAAATCCCCTTTTTGTGCAGGTTGTAATCAATCACAGACACAGGAGCAAGGGACTGAAGGGACAGCAGCTCAGCTGGGGTCAACCAGGAGCCAAGGTCAACAAAGGAGCCAAATGAGCCACTGTAAGAGACTGCTGGCTGCCAAGCAAGACCAAACTTTGCTGCAGCCTCTGGTCTTGTGAAGTTCCTAACCCGGGGACTGTCATGAACTAGGGAGTTTGTGCCAGAGGAAGGACAGCTCTGAAGGTGCTATCTTATAACTCCCTTAAATACATGCTGTAGTTGATGCTAGAGACAAGCTCTGTGTCTAGGATGGGGCTTTGGGTTGACCCAGCATAGCCATGCTCATGCTCTGTTGAAATAACCTTTCCCCCATAGAAACAGGGCAGATTTAAATGTTTCTCTCTCCCTGGAGCTTGGGCTGCCTCTGCACTCTGCCTGGAAAGTTGGTCCTGCCCACCGCAAACCCAACCACCCTCCTTCACTGGTACCACCCCTGGTACGCTGCAAAGCAACACTCCAAACCCATGGCCTTAGGGAACCGGCACAGCTCTCCCCTGCGGCTGCTCCACCACCATCCCTTACCCCAGGCAGACCACTCTCACCTTTGCAGTCACCCAGTAACAGGCCTAGCAGGACCTGCCATGGCAGAGGAGTTTTGCCCTTTCACCTCAGCATAGAGGGGATGGAGAAATTCAAGTGGCCAAGGGAAAGTGAACAAAAGCCCATAGGCAGCAAGATGTCTTTTCTGGGTAGAGGGTCCCCTAACCCAGAGAGCATCCAATTAGTACAGGATGCCACAGCAGTACCACAGCATCCATCGCTTTGCTAGGAAGAGAAAGGAGCCCTTCTGGTGAATGGTTTAGGACCTGCAATAAGGTGGCTTTTTTGTCCTCTCATAACACCTTATGAGATCAGCCTCTTACCCAGACCCTGAGACACAGCCCTATACTTAGAAACTCCTGCTGCACGGGGAAGCAGACCAGCATCTGTAATTTCTAAGCACCTCCACTACTTTAAGGAGCAGAAAACTTACTTTACAACCAAGACCATTAAAAATCCCAGGAAGAGGTGTCTTTCAGCACCAGATCAGAGAGATAAAAAGGGGTCTATAAGGACTACTGGGGTCTATAAGGATTACCAGGGGCACATCCATTTCTGAAGGGAAAGAGCAGTGGGAGGCACTCAAACTGTGTCCCAGCACAGGCTTTCACAACATGTGGTTCAGACACTGTTTCACTGACATGCTACAGCTGTTTATGAAAGAGCTTCCTAGAGGAGCCACAGCTCTGGGATTCCTGTTAGGTGTTGCTTGACTCACCTGTAGCCTAAAGAGTCCATGGGGACAGGGGCCATGCCCAAGTTTTCAGGGTAGTTTTGTGTCTTTGTTGCATAGTTATGTGAATCTATATTCCAAGCAAAGCTGTTCTGTACTCGCTGCGTGGCCTCAGCCTCGATCTGCTCTTTTGGTTTCATCATGCTGTGGTGATGGATGTGGTGGTAAACGTGTTTATGGTGGTATAAGTTAGATGCATCCAGTTTCATTCCTGATTTTGTTGCGTGCTTGCCATGCCCTGGAGGAATTGTTCCTAGTGTCCCTGACAGTTTTCCTAAGTGGCCGCTTTCTGGGGACCGTGGCTTAGGAGAGTGGCGTCCAGGTCCTGGAGACTGGCAGCCTGGTGTTTTCATCACACGCTGTACGTGTTCATCAAGGATGCTTTCTGGGTTTTCTTCATGAGCATCTCTCATCTGCATCCCAGTGCAGCCCATCTCAGAGTAACGAGGAGCAAAGTGATGAAAGGCTTGGGCGGAAGGCATCTTGTGGCTAATGACTGAGGGACCAGAAGAGATATCTGCATCCTCACCTTCTTCTTCCTGCAAGAAACATGAGAACAATCAGAGAACGACAGCAGAGTGCTGAAAGGGCCCCAGTCCCCCCTCCCGCTCGCAGCAGGACTGCTGCCAACCCTTGAGTCAGGCCTGGCTTAGTCCAACCAGATCCTGAAAACCTTCAAGACAGAGATCCACCAGCCCTCCAGAGACCTGTCCCGGAGCGTGCCACCCTCCTGCAAGGAATTTCCTGATGCTCAATCCAAGCCTGTGCAGTCTTGCTGCCACCGAGCAGAGCTGCTCATGTCTGTCTATGTACCTGCTTTTTGAGCCACCATTAGCAAGGGTCTCCATGCATTACCCAAAGAGACTGAGGCAACCTCTGACAGGCAGCCCCCACACCACAACCATGGTTTACAGATGCAGCTTTCTGAGAAGTGTAACAACTCAATCAGATGTATGACTGGGCAGAGCTTACTGAAAAGCTCCTATATCCCTTGAAGGTGGCCCTGTAACAACCACCGCCAGCAGAAACACAACTTACTGCACTGTACCTGTGCTTCCTATGAGCCTTTGGTAAGGCACTGCCTCAAATCCTATCAGATAAAGCCCAAAGCGACAGGATATGTGGCAAAACAGTTCTGGAGTCAGGACCAGGGGAGTTTCTCACCCAAATGGCTATTTCACATGGTAAAGCCAACAGTGGGCTTGTAATGGAAGGGAACAACTGAAGGTTGACAGCAACATGAATGGTTTTGAAAATCAAACATTGATTTCTCCCAGGCCTGCTACAGGCTGGAGTGAAACACTTCATGCAGATAAAGAAACAGGCTGGAACTAGCTGCTTGTTCTTGTAGTTCACAATGGTCTAGGACACAGTGTTAGCAACTTCAGTCCTTGCCAGGAAGAACAAAACTCCTCCATGCTGACAGCCACAGTTTTGATGCTGACAAACTACTTCACGCTCCAACATAAACTCAGAATGAAGTTTCTTTATTGGAAGTCAGGGTTCCTATTTTTTTTTAATTACATAAGCAAGATTCCAGTGAGTCCTTTAATCCTGCTCTCTTTTCCTCCTTTGGCATGTAAAGAAATCACTTGTAGCACAGGATATCTCTGTCCTGCCAGATAAATGCATCTGCCAGAAAACACTGACTCCCATCAGCTTTGCCTGTCAGATGTCATCATCCATCACTTGCTAACTAGCTTCAAAGTTTCAGCTGCCAACCACACAGAAAGCAAATAACAGACTTCTTCCCAGTTGTCACACCTGGGGACAGGGACAATGTCAGGCTTTGAAAATGCCAAAGGCATAGACACTGCAAGCCTGGGGGTGTGACATGATGCCCACGTCTGGAGGGGACACACCACTTTCTAACAGATTGCTTTGAAGAACTTCAGAGGCACCTTCCATCTACAGCCACATCGCTGCAGCTGCCAACTGCTGTCCCTGGGAACCTAGCTCAGGGACAAGAAAAGATGAAGCATGTGCTGTCTAAATCCCTGCCACTGGGGTAGGCGTTTATGAGCAGTTTGTGATAATCTGATAGGCTCAGCATTTGGTAGGCTTTTAGGGCTGGTGCTTTGTGGAAAACGCTAAGGTTTAAACACCACCTAATGTGCAGGGAAAGATGTGACCCATGCACTGACCCCTGAGGAACGGCAGTGTGCCCTTTCTGCTCAGGGCCCAGAGCTCCAGCTGGCCTCTCACACTGGAGCAGAGTGGCATGAGAGTGACAACCTGGGATGATCCGGCCAAATGGATGCCTGGGATTTGGGAAATCCTCTGGCTCCCTGGAACTCTATTTTGCTGATAACTGGGACCTGGTAGTTTGCTTTGCTCCAAGAATGAGGTTAGGGTGGGTTAAGGGAAGGAGAGGGATGCATTGGCTCTCTCTGCCTTGGCTCAGCTCGTCTGTGTCACTGAGCAGGAGATCTGGACCCCAAGAATGTCCTCAGGCAGGAGCAAGTGATGCTGAGATGGGTTGTGTACAGGCAGGCCTGGGGCAGCTGGCTTCCCACCCCCTAACATGGGTCTCACCCTGCATCAGATAAGAAAGCCCCAACAGTGAGAAAACAGTAGCTAGTGAAGATGTCCCTGCTCATTGCAGTGGGGTGGACTACAAACCCAAACTATTCTATGATTCTGTGAATTGGGGTGCCTATCCCAGGCTGCCCTCTCTCCCTGTGCAGGGCAAAGGGTTGAGTCAAGGCTGCAGATCCCAGTTCTACTGAATCTTTTCACCAAAAAACTAGTGAGGTCAGGGCAACCCAGGCTGGGATTCTAATGCAGGACTTTGGACACAGCAGAGTCAAGCTTTGGCTCAGCCACAAACACTGGTGCACTGCAAGGTGCTTCTTCCCTGTGTTACCTGACTGCAGTCTGTACCTGCAATGTAGTAGCAGCCTTCCCTCCCTCTCAAACCTGCCTGTACCCAGCTGTACATGACTGCCACTTAGCCTGCATCCCTCTGTGCAGCAAGCACAGGCAGAAGAAAGGGACTGCAAGACAACAAGACCAAGAGGCAAGGCAAGAGGCAATAACTGCAGCATTTTACACCAAAAAAAACTGTGGGCCTGGGAAGCCCCCCTCCAAGGGCTCAGCTTCCCTGGACGCACGGGTGGCTTGGGCCCTAGAGCTGTGTTTCAGCATCTTGCTGCAGTGAGCTGGGCAAAGCTTGGCAGCAGCACAACCTCTCACAGGCAGGGAGGCCCAGGTGCCATAACCACTAGATGGTGCTTTGTTGACACAGTATTGTCAGAAACCTCTTCAGCTCCCAAAGGCAGCGGCAGCCACAGAGATGCAGGCTTCAACTTTGCTGTCTGCTGAGCTATTTTTACTCTCCAGCAAGGCTGGGGGTGCTCTTCCCTTTGAATTAGGAGGGAGAGACCTGCACTGATGAGCTATGGGCAAGCGATACCTTCCTGCAAACCTCGTCTGCCTTCTCCCAGTCCCACCTATCAGTCTGTTGCTGGTGGTTAGGGCAAAACAGATCACCTAACCACAAGTGCGCTTTCGATCATCATGCAAATGATTTCCCTCTCTAGTTAGGCCATATTTTATATCCAAACAGCGCGAATCTCAGCAGTGGCTTTGCTTCCCCTGGGTTATTTTCAATTTGTTCAGTTCAGACAAGGACAGAATGACCTGTATGATATGATACCGATCAGTACGACATGATACTGCAGCTTCCATGCATGGACACGAGACTGAAGTGGTTCAAACAGTAATAAGGGAACACACATCTCCTCTAATCCTCTCCCATGACACTCAAAATAATGAATGAATTCAGAATTTTGGTGTTGTTTTTTTAAATCAGAAACCTTACTTTTTTTTTTAGTAAAAGGCATTTGGCTTTAAATCAGATGCCTCTTCTCCACATTGCTGCATGATGCGGCTTTGAAAGGGAACCTGCAGGCATCTCAGCATGGGGGAGAAAAGTTATTTTCCCCTAGGTCTTGCAAAATATTTCCAGCTTCTCTGCTAAGCTGCTAACTGTCCAGTGTGAGTAACGCTGGTGGTTTTCCCTCTGCGGCTGTGCAGTGAGCCCTGCAGACATGGTAAGAGGTTACCCTGTAGTCCTGGTGCTCAGGTTGCAGAGAAAAGCTCTGTGACCTATCAGAATTCAAGCTCTCCTCTTGCTGATACCAGCAGCTCCTGCACCTTAAGTGCTGACCTAAAAGAGCTACAATTGCTTACTCTGAGTTTTTCCTGAATGGCTAATGCCAGATGCCAGCCAGTCAATGAAATACATTCTGGAGACAGCAAGGAGGCTTAATATATAGCATTAGTGGGAGTCCTGGGCTTAAAAATAGATTAAGTCACACAAAAATGTGTTTCAACAGACTTAAATTTATTCTCTGGCACAGAGGTATTTGCCGATTTTATGGTATTGCTACTGGCAGCTTCTTCAAGGAGGGAGAGGGCTGGGATAATGTAGTCTGGTACAGGTGGCAGCTGCAACTGAGCCATGGGAGGAGGAAGAGTGCTTTAGGATTGTGTTATCAGAAAATGCTGCTGTTACATTGGCTTCATCTAGAAAGCAATAGGTACCAGGTGGAGAAATTCCAGAAGTATGGGAATCTAACAGGAATCTAACCTAATCTCACTGGCTTTCTCTGGCTGGATGCTGGATGCAGGGGTATCAGAAGTCTGCTGGACAATGTTTGGGGCTGGAAGGAGCCTTACCAATCCTCCTGCCTTCCTAACTTCTCTGCATTTGAAATACAGATGTGATTTAAAATGAATACTTAAACGTACAGCTCCTTCCTGTTTAAAGACCTGCTAGATGAACATTTAAAAATACTCTAATGGGGCTGTAGGGTCTGCCCTAGAGCTTCAGCCTCTCTGAAAGCACAGAGCTAGCCAAAACAGACACCAACGCTTCTGCTTTAAGGCAGAGCTGTGGGTTACTAAGCACAGAGCCTTTGCCTCAGGGCCATGGCAGCTATTAACTGCAGAGACCCACAATTATTTCACACAGGGTTGTAGCTATACTGACACTGGTGATGTTCAGTAACACTGTGGTGTCCTCTGAAAACTCTCCTGTATCCCCAGCACAAAATGTACAGGTACCAATGACATGCATCATCTCAGAAGATGCGGTGTGAGTAGTTCTGAACAGAGCGTCTCACACAGGCAGTACTACATAACCAATACCTAACTCTCTCCCTTTTGGACCTTGTTGTGGAGCTAAAGACCTTCCACACTTCCCTTGGTTCATCTACCGAGTCTTTGAGCTCTGAAGGGCCCCAGTGGTACCAGGGCTCACAGCCTGTAGTGCTGGGTTGGTTTTCCCCAGCCACCCATGTGCCCAGGAGAGGATTTTTGGATGCTACACCTCATCAGTTCCAAATTTTCTAGGGATGTGCTAGGCACTGATGGGCAGAATCCTTGCCTGATAGCAGACACAAACATCTCACATCAGCTAGGCACTGATGGGCAGAAACAGCCTGATAGCACACAAAAATATCTCCAAGCATAACATCGTCTGCCATCTGATTACTAATTGTGGGGAAAACAGGGATCACACAAAACCCCACAGGTGAAGGCAAACCCCTGTTACATAGTACCCATCCTCACATGGAAGGGACTGCTCACAAAGTCAGGAGAGCAAGGGTGCCAAAAGAATGATGGAGAGCATCCACCACCTCTAACTGGTGGCAGAAGTGGGTAGTGCTGTGCCATAGTTGGTATCTAAACTCCGGGAGGGAGCGTTGGAGCTCACAGAGCCCTGCAGGTATGGGGGAACAGCACTGTGGAAGATCCTGGGGCAACGTGAGACTCCAGGAGCCTCCGTGGAAGTGATGACCATGGCTGTTAGAGCAGGGGAATGGTCACCTCAGTTACTTTTACAGCAGCTGAAAGCTCCTTGTGGTGTACAGAACACAGACAAGACTCCCGGGCTGGTGGAGGGGGTAAGGAGGTTACTAACCGCTCGAACGCGTTTAAGACGCTCCTCTAACTTCTCCTCTGCTTCACGTTCCTTTTGTACTTCCTCCAAACGATTGATCAGCTCTGCAGCAAACTTCTCTGGTTCAACGTGGATATCCTTTGGCATTCGGTATGTACGCTGCAAGGAAAACACACCAGGGGTTAGCAAAAGATGCATGGAAAATCACACGTTTGCTGTGGAGGCTTTGGTAACTGGAAATGCCAGCCATTCCGGTGGGGAGTTCAGGAAGGGCAGGCTGGCAGGCAGAGGTACAGCCCAGGACCAAAGGGCTGGAAGCTGAGCCATTGCCATCGGCTGGCACCAGCTCCACACACCACCCCATGTAAGGGGAAGGTTTCCTGGAGGCACAGCTCAACAAGCTCTTCTGGCATCAAGCTCTACTTTGGGATGGATGTGCTTGCTCCTGTGTACACAGAGTCAACAGGAATATCCTGATCTCAAAGGGTGGGAAAACGATGTACAGAGAAAACTCTCAAAAATCATGCTCATAGCAGTGATGTTTTGACTTTGATAGAAGAAGGACTCTTACACATTAATTCAGCTCATTCCAGGTGGATCAGCATATGCTGGTCTATCTGCAGATCTAGCCCACAGCCACAGAAAGAAGCGGAAATTCTGTCACCTCCAAGCACCTTACTTCCCTCCATCTTCTGCTACAGCCCAGTCCAGCCACAAAAGGCTGTGATTCCCACAAAGCATCCTCTCTTACTAGAGAATCCTGCAGGATTGCATCTTAGCTCTTCAGAGCTGTGCAACTAGCAATCCCCTGCTTGTCAATACAGCGACCTTACAAACACAGAGATACCATTTTTCTACTTGCTCTGGGTGAGCAAATGAATATTTCTGAAGTTCAAGGGCATTCTTGGTTCCTAATGCTGAGCTACTTCGTTCTTAAATTCCTGAGCTCTAGGATAAGAAGTTCACGTACTGAAGTATGAAGCTATCAGCTGCTGGTTTTTTTCCCCCTCATTTTTATTCCTTCTGCATTATTTTGTTATAATAGTAGAAAAAATGACACAGCAGAGTTAAAAATTTAATTTGGAGAAAAAAATATACAGAGAATTCAACAGTATAAAAACCTGCATTCAAATAGTTTGATACCAACATGAGAGATATCCACACTCTATAGGACCAGAGATAAAATGAAATGTGAAGATGTGAAGTAATTCACAGCAAAAGAACAAATGCAGCACCAGAAGCAGACATCGAGCTTGAAATCTTTAAAGGAGGATGAGAGACCACCCGCATATATCCCAGATCAGCCAAAAGATCAGTGTGGAAGACTAAAATAAACCTGACAAAAAGTATGCAAATCACATTGGGTTTTCATTCTGCCAGCTCCCAAGTGGAAGGCAAGGGAAGAAAAACAGAGGCATTGAGAAGCTGAAGACATCTTTTGTGACAGCCGAGTTGGGTTGCAGAGTCTCAGTTAAAGCATCACTTGGTTTGTTCGCTGAGAGCAAGACCCAACCCTGCCAGCAAATCCCAATCCCAATGCCCACTGCTGTAGCCTTCCCTTCCATTCTGGATGGTGCTGGGCTGCAGCATCCCAGGGGACATCTGCACACACGATGGGGCTTTGCAGGCACAGGGCTGCCTGCTCTAGCACCAACTTTCCTTGACAAGCAGAGGGACTGACAGCTCTGAAGCTGTGCCAGGTAGGACAGACCCATCCAAGCTGGAAAGGGCCCCAAGCAACCATCCCCTTTATCCAGCGATGAAGATGCTGGGGAGGGCATAAGCATGTTTAAGCTACCAGGTGGCTCCCACCCTGGGATGGCAAAGTCTTTGCTGCCACCAGGTCCTCCAGCAAATCAATGGCCTATATTAAAAAGAAATACTGCAGGAAAAGATTTCTATCAACAAAAAATGACATTCAGTCTTGAAATATTGGCACACAGGCTGAAGTGGCATGTTTCATCCCAGAGCCTGGAACTTGTGCTCTCCAGAAATGGGCCCCAGACATGCTCCATTAGGGGGGAAGGCATGACAGAACTTGTCCCTTCTCTGTTACTCCCTGGGGAGCTTTTAGGATCCAACTGATGTTTCCCCATTCCCCCTGCATAGCCCAAGGGAACACTTCTGGCTAAGGCAGTCTGCTTTAATCAGAAACCCCAAACCCATGACCACCACCATGCACCTGGTGAGGTAGCGCCAGCGACTCCCTAAGGAGGGAAATCTCTCTCTTGCCTGACAAGTCACTACCTGTCGGTGATGTGTTCACTCCTTCCTGCCACCCCAGACATGCCAATTCTCCCTGCGGTTGTTTATATGACGGCAGCACCAAGCCCTGCTCCGTTAGAAACTTAATGAGCCTAATGAGAGGCAGGTTGGTGCTCAGCAGTTACAGTCCTGGGTCTCCCTGCTGCAGCTACCACAGTGACTTCCATGGAAAAGCAAAACTGGGAAAGAATTTCCCTTTATTTGCAAAGCCTTTGATGCAATGCAGCATCCCAAACCAAAGTCTCTCCTGAGTCCCCAGCAACAGTGGGTGCAAAGGCTGATGTTTGCTAACCTGCATGTTCGAGTCCTGTTACAATAAGGTGGTTGCCTCCAGCCTCAGCAAAGCTTAAGAACACAGCTCTATCTCTGATGAGGATCTGAAGACATTCAGAGTCACTGCTGTAGCCAGGGAACTCAAGATGACTTTGGTCTTTTACAGCTCTCAAAGTCTGGAGGTGATTAAAGCTTAACTACAGAAATGAAAGTAACTGAACCCAAGAATCTTTAGGATGAACTTTGTTTTCCTCTCTCTTTGATAAACCACTGCATTTGCAAAACCCACTGCCCCATTCTTGGAGCCTTCCACTCAGCGGGATGGCTTGCAGAGGTCCCGTTCGAGGGTGCAAGATGCAGGTTCCTCTTTGAAGCCATTTCTGCAAGGGTCTCCCTGACCATCCAAATTCAACGCAACTGAAATAAGCCTTGCATCACCGCACAGATATTGGCTGTAAGTGCCCTGTGTTGCTCTGTAAGGGGCACTCACAGAAAACTCACAAGCAGGATGATGCTCTGAACACTGCTGCTATGGGTCTGACTTTATTCCTAGCTCAAAGGATGAGCTACACAAGCTTCCCCAAAACCAGCAGTACTGCAGAGTAATGCATGCAAATTCTCTGTGCTGAAACAACACAGATAACTGCTGAGGGCTCTCCCTGTCTCCCTGGACAGCAAACATGGACTGCATTTACCTGGTTCAAAAGGCTTAAAATGGTGCATTTGAAATGTTTATGAAATAATAATAGGCTTGACTTTGAAGGGAGTCACACTCCATAAAGAGGATGAAGGGAGACATGCTCCATCCAAAACCAGCCAGGCTGAGCCTATGCCCAGAGGAGGATCCTCCAGGGCTTCAGAATTTTGAACTTGTCCCTGGATTCATGTGGACATACAGAGCCCTGCCAGTTTATTGCTCCAAATGCTTTTGTTCCAAGTAAAGGGTGCAGAACTCTCTAAGAGCTGGCTGGTTTTGGAGGATCCAGCCCTCCAGTCTGAACCAGAAGGTGATCTCTGGACATTATGGGTCAACAATTCAGAAAGAGCGAGCTCCATTTAGACCTTTCCAGAACCAAACCATGCTGAGTTGTGGAGGTTGCAGAGGACAACAGATGGGAGGGTGAATGCCAGATAAGCTGGTAAGAAAGAAATTGCTTGAAGTGTTCTGCATGAAGCAATCTTTCCTAGTGACAGCTGTGAGGAAGAATTTCTCAGGGTACCTATCACCAGACATTGTCCTTGACATGTGAAGTCTCTGGTACCCTTGGGAAGGAGCAGTCTGCTATGAACATATGAGATACACAAGCTCTCTAGTAGCTCCATTTAGCTCCTGCTATCATGTTTTCTCCTTTTCTTGGAGCTGACAGAGTGGGATTTGCAAGGGATTTTGCTCCATGAGGCTCATGCAGGTTTTGGGTTTCGATGGAATTCACCTCCCCTGAGAAACTGAGTTCTGAGGACCAAGTTGCACATCAGAACACACCAGCATCCTAAATGTCTGGTTTTACTACGATCTATATATGAAAAGGCTGAAAGGGAAGAATCTCACTCTGGTTTGCAGGTTCTCCTTGGGAAGAATAAACCTCAGCTGCTCTGAGATGAAACAGGAGGTTTTACAATGTTATCATTGGCTAGAGGTCTCCAACCAGCCCCAGGGATCCATTTCTGACACATCCAACTGGGTCAAAGAATTCTGTGCTGCTAAATCTCCCTCTTCTACAGGAGGTGTGATGCCTTCATGATGCCTGAGTGGCCAACTTTAGCTCACAAGTCAGTCTTGCAAATTAAAGGAAGACAGCAGGCTAGAGAAGCCAAGAGAAAAGAACTTCTGAACCTTCATGTTTCCCAGATTAATGCAGTCCTCTGTGACACATGGTTTTAAAGAATAAACGGTGTTTCCGTACCAGAAATGCTTGTTTCAAAGCTCATGGATAGCTGAATTTTAACATCCATGTTAGCAGCATTCAAGGATTAGCAAGGAGTCCCACTGCTGCAAGGCATTTGAGGAGAACGGCATGAAATGGCTGGTGGGAATTCTGAGCATGTTTCCAACTTGCAGGAGCAGAAAGCTCATTTAGCTGTAGTTATCCAGGCAGCACAAGACCAGGGCTCATCCCATACACTCCTTACTTGTACAGCATAGCACAGTGGTCACTCAAAATCTTGTGCTGCACTCAAGCACGCTATGGAAGCCACCTTGCATACATATAGCCCTGCATTCTCTATGTCTTCACACTTCCTTTGGTAACTAGCTTGCTCTTTCCTTCCTTGGTGCTCCAAGTCTCTGTTTGAATCCAAGAGAGACACAAAACCACATGAAAAGCAACACTTGTTTGCCATATAATGGGTTCCTGCCAGAGGCACAAAACAAAGGTTTCACTGCTTGCTAGTGACCTTCACCCACTTCATTCCTGGGCAGAGAGCCATTTTACAAAGCACAGCTTTTCCAGACTTGGAGCACTGGTGAGCTGGGAAGTGTGGAAGGTGCAGAACACAGCCATCCACGCACCAAGATCTCCTGCTGCACAGCAGGGCATCCCACACAACCAGCACATGCCTTCATTATTTGGAGGCAGCACAGCTGTTGAACCTAGCAGGCAGTCTCCTATGAACACATAATCACTAGAGTTTATAGCTTCTGGACCTGACTAAAAGTGCTGCTGTTAAAAGTAATATAAGTTCTTTCAGAATTTTGTGTAATAGCCCCATAACTCATTTGTAAGGGAACAGTAAGGTCTCTAAAGGACTTCTGAAATGGCTTTTCGGAAGTAGGAGGTTCTCTACTATCACTAAGAAAACATGCCATGCATTCTGCAAGCACTATCAGTACAGACTCTAGATATGAGTCCATAAAGACATTCACTCAAAGGTTGGAAATTAGTCATTGCTGCATGTTTAAAAGCATGCTAAACACCAGGTCTAGGCAGCTGATGGAGACTGCTTTAGCTGTGGGCTGTGAGATAGCCTAACCACTGGCTTTGGAAAGCACCACTTGAAGAAACATTTGCATGGCTCCTTGCTAATTGGGGACATTTAATTCAATAAGTGTGCAGTTCGAGGTGATTTTAAAAGACTAACTTTATAACATTTCACACTGGTGTTGTCAAAACATATTGTCTAATTACCTTCTCCTTTCTTGGCTGATTGATAAGTGAGGGCAGAGCTGTGCCTCTCTGAAGTCGATGCCAATTTTGTGTCAGTAATTGGCTGGCAGGAGGTGCCAGAGTGTCTGAACTAAACTTTTATTCCCTGGAGAAAGACTACAACTAACTCGACTTCTCAGTCCTCCACTCCCATATAAATATGCACCAAGATGCTTTTTTCCCTGAGACTTAAAATTACAGTGCAGAACCTAATGGAAACAGTGGATGTTTCACAGAAAAATCCTTGTGAAGCATCTATGTGTAGTTTAGGAGGAATCTGTAATTCTAACAGACTGTGTAGATAAGTAGGATAATATAAAAATTTATAAGCAGCAGGTGGCCAATTTAAACCTTGTTTTCCCCTCCCTTTTTAAACTGGTTTCCAAAAAGGTTGCTAAAATTTAATGCTAAATAAAACTAATTAGCCTGCAAGGAACTGCTGCTGGAATGACACTTATTCAGTTCAACAAAAGAAATGTTTGGCAGATGGAAGTTCGTTAAAGCAGAGCTCACTATACATATTTAATGCTCCATACTCCGAGTTTATAACCTGCAGTTCACTGAGGCATTGGCAGTGCACACGATCAACAGAAAGGCACTATTATTTTTATCCAAAAGGTAAAGCCACTGACAAGCTTTGAAGTTGGAGAATATTCACTCAGTCGTTCCCACTGCTGGGGAACAGCAACAACAATAACAACAAAAAAATAAAGGCCAAGCTTTCAAACTTCAACTCTAACAAAGACATGCTTACAGTAAAAACGGCATCGAGTGAAATAAAAAGGCACCCAGCCAGCCTTTTCAACAGTGAGCACACTGTGAAAGCAACTGTGTGAAAAGAGAGGTGACTGAGCAAGGATGGCTAGTGAGCGTCCGCAGCCAGGGCTTTTATTGTCAACCCAGTGATCAAAGCACAGGAGACCCTCTTAAATCTAAGGAAAATAATCTAATTTAAAAGGCAAAACAAAGAGTGGTGGTTTGGGGTTTTTGGGTTCTTAAAAAAAACACCAAATCAGATTAAAACAAGGGTGCATTGCTGCTGGTATTGTGCTGCTTTGAGCAGGCAGGATGAAAACAGCTGTGTCAAGTTTGAAGGCACTTCTGGAGAAAGCAGATGGAGGCTGTTTTTCTCCCTGTTTGATTTGTGCTGGAGTCCAGCTGTCCAAAGGGGAAAGAAGCACCTTTATTCTCTGCTAGATATTAAATGTCACCTGTAACTTCTCACAAAAAGAAAGTAATAATAAGCAGAGCTGCAGATGGTGCTGCAGAGCCCTAGCAGTTATGCTCATCTCCCAGAAGCTGGCTGCTTACCTGGAGCAACTGGAGACACAGAGTCAGACAAATACTTACGCCTGCACTTTCTTTGCTTTCCTGCCTCATATCCCCAGGCATGCTTTGCCGAGTACTTGAGAAGAACAGGTTACAGCTGCCTTTGGCTGCCCAGTGCAGAAATACTGCTTGGGACAGTTGCATTTCTCCCCAGTTTACCTTGGCTGGGAGCTACATCATCCTCCACGTCCAATGACCTCCTACACCTTCCACAAACACCTTCAGCTCACCCGAGGGCATGTAACCTGCTTGCAGGTAAATGCCAGCCAGTGCTTCCCTTCTCCAGGAGAAACAACTGGCTACTGACTGAACAGTTAAGAAAAATTATGCTTTCTGGGGCAGCTCTGGATGATGAATTTGGCAGAAAACTACCAAGCCCTTTCTTAGAATGGTCCACATCCATCTTAAAACATCCTCAAATGAACACAGTGCTAAGGGCGGTTAAACTGGAGAAAGCAGAGCAACTGTATACTAGAGCTCTCACATATTTTGCATATTTACCTCTGGGAAAGGAGATAGTGCTACTTACAGGAATGTGAGGTAGTGGCACACGTCCATTTGCTTTGGCACTTTCTTGCATCTCTCTGCGATGCTGCTTTCGGAGTCTGTATGGTGGGATCCCATCTCTGCCAGAATAAAACAACAACAGGCCCTGCTTTAGTGCCTTTCTCTGATACATTATGTTCACTTAAGCTTTGCAACTGCGCAGTGTCAGGTAGGAAACCCCTTTACCTTTGAGAAAGGCTTGGCATGCCCAGGGCAAGTGCAGCAGAACAAGAGGAATCTATGTGGGGAATGATGCTGACCGAGGTTCCTGAACCAGCAATGCTCCTGGCACTGGGTACCAGGAGGGACTTACATGGTATCTGTCTGGAGCAGAGTGAGGTAGGGCTCCTGCAATCACTGCTCCTGACAGAGGGCAGGGAGAAGGAGTTGGACCACATCCTGGCACCTTTCATAGTTGGTTGCTTTCTCTTAAAGAGCCTGTAATATACACATTAAACCACAGAGCAGACTAGGAGAGGGAGGAGGAGGAGTGGGAGCTCAGTGAGCATCTACACCTTGCTTGGGGAACAAGGTATACATTTTTAAGAGGGCATGACAACTTCTCAAATGGCTTATCAAAGTGAAGGGGTAGGCTCTGCTGCTCTTACGATGATCCCCAACTCAGTCTGAAATTATGGGCTTGATACTGGAGTTACTGTGTGAAAGGACCTAGCCCTCTCTCCAGAGGAGGCTGGATGAGGTTAGGAAGGGATGCCGTAGGCAGTGACATCCAGTTCTATTCAGGTCTGTGCCCTTACTGGAAAAGCTGGCGACAGAGATCTCTGTCTCTGCAGAGATGAATTGATGGAGGTGGCAACGATCCTTGGTCCCAAAAGACCAGGAGCTGGGTCTGTGGCTCTGCCATGCACTGGGTGATGGTGCAGACCTGGTGTGCCAGGGCGCACGCAGGGCAGGGTGGACGTTGGTCCCAGTGATGGCATGTCGGGGGGGCAGAGGCACCAGGTTTCACTAAGCAACCCTAGCAGCAAAGCATCACTGGCTGAATATGACTGCAGGTGAAGAAAGGAAATGCATTCTTGTTCCCATCACTGTGACCAGCCTGCTTACATCCAGGGCGAGAAGAATGTGGATAAAGCAGAGCCCAGTTATGAGACAGGGTCAGGGGCCCATCTCCTGGTGACACCAGGTTATTTTGAGAAAAACCAATGAATGCAAAAACATTGCCTGGCAATTTGGAGCTTTCTTTTTTTTATTTTACACATTTCACTGATGCAGTAAAAGTAACTGCTTGGTAAGGATGTGCAATGCCACAGAAATGGGAGGATGTGAATGGAGGGATTTGGTTTGTCCAAAGTACCAAATAACTTCCATGCACGCACACTGTCTCCTTCCAACCCCACACCACTCTGAGCAGTGCAAACGAGCCAGTCCCAACACATATCACAAAGAAAAGATGTTTGCATAAGCCAAATGTCTTTAGCACCCACCCCCCTCCTCAATTGCCAAGCACAGCTGCTTCTCAAGAGCATAAACTAAACAGTTTAACCAGCAGATTTCTAAACTTGAAATGCCATTTGGCAAGGAAAACACAATATACTGTACTGCTTTGCCTGCAAACCTCCCGAGTTACAAGCACCAGCCTGTGCAAGGATGGTCACCATCAGCTTTCTTTCCCATTTCCATCGTACCTGCAGCCCGCTGGCTCTCTGGAAATGTGGGTGCAGGCAGAATTGCCACCAAATTACAACAGAATTCAATTTCATGCAGTAACTCAGGCATTCAAAATTAAATACCATTAAAACAAAATAAAACCTGTGATTAATGACAAGTGCTTTTTAGTAGGAAGACAAATGAGACAACAGAAAATTAGCCAGGCTAATTACAGCTCTGGCTAGTGGCTGCAGGTAATGCGGGAGGAGGAAGAGCATCACCTCCATTGCACCCGGCAGTGACACCTTACGGGAGCAGCAATTTGCCCAAGCGTTGCTATACCGACAGGTGATTACGATGGCTTTCATTAGCCAGCTTCATTTTCTTTAATGACAAACTTCCATTTGAAAAATAGCTTGAGAGTCACAACGGTTAGAGAGTTCCATCACCATGCAGCTTTTTCCAGGCTGGATGGCAATGAACAATTGGCAACTTTTACAGGAAAACATAAAACCCAAAATCTGGGGGATTATTGTAGCCATCACTGGTCGGCATCAATAGACAACATTCCAGCTTAACCGCCGCACAAAACCTGGTTGCCAGCAACTCGCCACACAGCCATTCGCAGGAAAAGAGGCATTATATTAGAAGGTGCAATTTTTCTTTCTTTCTCTCTTTTTTTTCTAATTCTCCCCAGCAGCAGTCCCAGCGGAAAGAGCGACTTTTGTTCCCAGCACAGTAGCGAAAGGCTGATAATGGCCTCTAATCTATCCAGCTTCAAACACATGTTCAGCCCTGCTGTGCTGCCTTTGATGTCATTTTAACTAGATTCCCCAATGCCACCTCTGAACTTGGAACATTCCTTCGTTCAATGTACTGTGCCAACTCAACCAGAGGAAGCAAATTCAAAGATAAGCACTTTAATTTTATCCCAACAAAACCTTATTCAATAGATGGGGGGAAAGCAAGGAAAACCAATACCGCACTTTTGTTTTCCTTTTGTCAGGTAGCTTGCTTTGAGATATTTTCAATAGATAGAGAAATATTATATATATATAAAAAAAAAAATCAAAACTTTTTTTAGAGCACATCTACTTTTAAAATAAAACTTTCCCAAACTGTTTTTCCTTGTTTCACCATGTGATTTTCTGTAGCACCAGGAAGCTCTGTGCTGAAATGCAACAGGGGGAGCAAGTCTTTCCGTCATTCATTTAATGATAAAGCAATTGGTTTGCTACTGGGGAACGTGGGGGTTTCCTCTCCTCTCCAAACCAACCTGCAAGAGCCTCTAGTGAGCAGGATGGTTTTGGTGTGGCTCTGCAGTTGGACTCTTCTAACAAGGGCTGTCTTTGCTCCTCCGTAGACAGGCTCCAAACCCAACCATCAAGCCTAACAAGTTGGAAATCACCATTTGGAATCTTTTAAATTAAAAAGCTGTTAAACTTGTTTAAATACAGCAGAACTCAAGGTCATTCTGAATCACTGGCCATAGGAAAGACAGGAAACAAATCCACAGCAAAACTGGTATTTTCTACCAATTCCTCTTACCAAAGCACCACTGTCACTGAGAGACCCTTCTCACATAAAGAAGCATGATGGGAAAATCACCAGGCATTTTGGCCAAAGGCCAGTCATCCGAGGAATAATATTTAATTCACAAGGTTTTTTGAAGGAGTTACTGCTGTCCTAAACCTCTTTGCTCCAGCAAATGGCCATCCATACTCTCAGGCAGGTTTGACTGGAATTGGGGAAGAGTAAGTACTCCTCCAGCCTAGCCCACCAGCATGGAGGGCTTCTCAAGCCCCTGGGAGAAAGCAAAGCTCTCAGCCAACCAAGATAAGCCAGGACATACAGTAAGAGCCAGAGGAAGGAGTATTGCTGTTTAGTTGGACCACAACACTGGGTTTAAGAGTTCACATTACCTCTTGTTTACCCATGTAAGCTCTTGCAGAAACAATGAAACATATGGACCTAAGGCATTTCTGCATCTGAACTGGAGCATCACATGGCAATTTAATGCATTTCAGCTTCTGCCTGTAGTGTTCCTACCTAGAGCTGCCTTAATTTCCTTCGAGCATCTCTGTTGTGACAACCCCTCCTACCCAGAGGCTGTTTCCTCCACTTGGGAAAAATGCTGTCCTTATGTGGGGGTTATCAGAGACAGCAAGAGCAGTTGAGGACTGTACTGCAAATGGTGCTGCAAGCCTGGGGCAGGTTCCAAGCAGCCCAGGATGGAGGCAGAGCCCCAACCCACCACTGACCCACCCCGAACGCCGGTGCTGAGCAACTCAGCCCCATGTGTGGCCAAGGCACTTTTGCCGGGCCAGCGCTTGCTGAAGCCTTTCACCATGTCCTCTCCAGACCTTCCCTCCACACAAACCAGCTAAAACAACACAGCTGCGGTGCCGATTATAAAAACAGGCTTCAACAGAGAGGACTGGAGCTGTTTTGCCTACAAGGGCAGAGGAATTCGTATGATACAGGAAGACTGAAAAATAATCAGTGGAGCGCAGGCATTTAAGAGCAATGATTTTTAAGCCACTCGAAAAGCAAACTCCTCCAGCAACAGCAACCAATAACATATTCGTTATACAAATTCAACCCATTACAATAATATTTACCAGAGCTTGGAAAGACATCCTGTTGAAAGTTTGTCTTTTAGACAAGCATGTTTGTAGCTGGTACCACAGAAATGACTTTAAAAAACACTCTGGTGAGCTGGGTGCTCCTGAAAAGCCTGTGCCTGCCTCCCTTCACTGCAACTCAGGAGGCCAGGCAGCCAAAGCATTGCTCAGGTCTTTGCTAGAGGCTTTGCATAGCTGGGCTGTGCCTGCAGCCACATCCAAACCCCGCACTCCCATCATCCATACAGTATCAAAGCTTGGAAGGGAGCTGGTGACACTAGAGAACAAGCAACTGCTCTATGTGTCTGCCTTCACTGATATGAGCTGGCCAACACTGAAGAGCGTGCCTTGCATCTAGCCATGATCTCTGTGCACCTGCCTGCTTCCCTGGTTTATTAGTGCTTCCCAATTAACTGATGTTTGCATCCTGATTGTCCAGACACATTCTCCTCTGATGGAGGGTCACAGAGGTTTCTGCCTTGGGATCGCACCCATTCATGTGCTGCCTTGGAGCAGAAGCCAGATTTATTCATTACTGAGCTTGACTGCTGTATGTAAACAGCACACATAGGGAAGAACCTCGCTCATCAGCAAACGAGGCTCTTATTGCCATTTTCCTCAGAGGAGGCCTAAATTCAAAGCACCAAGACATGTAAGTCTTGTCAAGCAGCAGGAGTCCCTTCTTTAACTTGCGTCTGGTTGTTCTTCATTTTAGCTGCCTTGAGCAATACTGCAAAAATTCCTTTGAAAATCAGGAGGCAGATAGGTTCTGCAATGCCACATAAAACCCGAACAAAACCTGCTACTGGAGTTCTAAAGCATGTAATGAAGAGCGAGTGCTGAAAATAGAAAGAGTTTTTGTAAGCCAAAGGTCAAGGCTGTACATCCAGAATCCCAGTTTGGGGATCAATCTGCATGCAGCCAGTTTAAGATGCACAGGAAGAAAGATCACAGGTTTACCCTTACAATTTTTGAGACTCACTTAAAATGAACCACTGAGATTGGGTTAATTATTAGCAGAAGTCAGCCCACATATCAGAAGTAATTAAAGTCCTAGAAGCATAGGAGGGATGGTGGGCATAGAAGTGATAAAATGCCCAAAGGAAAAAGGAGCAAAGAAAAAAGAATGCGTAAGACAGTCCAACAGAAATTATTCCCCTCGTGAAAGAAATAAATTATGGCTACTGAAATAAAAATTAGAAGGGTGAAGACTCCAGCATAAATGATCACAACTTATCGCAGGTATAACCATCAGTGCAACCCCATGAGCCTACTGGACCAGTGGAAAAGGAAGCGCTAAAAGCTAATTAATTTTGAAGAGTTCTTACATCTGTCTCTTCCGATAACTAGAAGTTACATGACCCCTGCTAGCTTCAGAGTACTCCTCCATACACATTGATGAATATGAAGAATTGCAGAAGGATGCAGCAAAGCAGCTGGACTTGTATCAAACAGAGCCTTCAATCAGCAGTCCTCTACAGCTTTCTGTCCTAGGGGTATCCTCCCACGCCCCTTTGGCCAAGGCCTGCCTCCACCATTTTGTAACATGGCACGGGTAAGCTGTAAGGAGCTGGTGCCAAGGAGCAAAGTGGACTCAACAGCTGATCCTAAAAGGCTCCATGTCTCCATGAAGCCAGACAAGCACACTACACACAGAATCCTCCATATCATGCTGCACACTCACCAACTCATGGTACTCACTGAGGGCTGTGGCACCCCTTAACAACATCTGTGACAAAGGCTGGAAAGTTGCTTCAACAAGGTCTGACAGCTCCTGATACTCACAGTGACACTAAACGAGCCTCTTGGAGGACTTTGTGTTTACAGCACTGAAGTTAATAAAACCCTCTCCTAATTCTGTAAACCTGTCATCTTTCGCTTGAAGAATCAAAGGGTTTCTGCTCTACAGAAGCATTTGCACTACTAAAAAAACAGACAAAACACTATTTCCCTCCAAATCCTTTTTTTTTCCATCACAGAGATGCAGTCACAACAAGAATCCCTTTTTTCTCCCTTTGCAGACCATCTTTAAGGAAGGTATCTCATGGGTAAGATACAGGGCACTGTCATGAGGATCAGAACTAGATAAAGCAGAAAAGATTTGGTGGGGCTTTATCAGTGCAAGTTGTGTTAAAGTGCACACATAAACTAGAACCGGTCAGTCACCAATCCTACTGAAGAGTAATCGCAGACTGAGCACAGTCTGGCAGCAAAAAAGCCCCCAAGAGAAGTACCCAGGTAAGTACCACTGCTCAAAAACCAAGTATGCTATTGTCCCACTTATTGTCCACCAGACTGGAATTACTTACACGCTGCTGTCTGTCAGCGACATCGTATCGGCATCACTGGACATGCTCTGCTGCTCGCTGTCATTGGCACTGGTTGCTGGTGCCAAAGCGTAGCCCGTGTTGACATAGTAAGGGTTAACAGGCTCTCTCCATGACCCATGTCTGCAAGAAAAATGAGAGTCAGATTAGAAGGACACAACCTTGACCATACTCTGCATCACTATGCAGTAGAACTCTGCCTGGAGCCCCAGCATCAATGACAGGCTACAGAGCAACACGAGTTCATACTAAGTTGCACTGACAGAACCACAAACAATTTGACTTGTAACTGGAAGGAAAAGGGAATTCATGGAGTAATGAAGATGATACTGTTAAGACATGCAGAAGGGAGGGAACCAGACTATACGGAAGAAGTCCAGTTCCCATCAGGATTTAAGGTGTCCATTGGCTAACTCCTTACCATTGTCATCCTATGAGCAAGGCAGGATGTTTAAAAGCAATCCTAGATAACAAGACAATGTTTTTCTCAGTCAAAACGGACTTCTTTGTTCCCACAGCAAGCGATACATAGTGCAGCTCACCCAATCTATGCTTGCTTTTACATCCCTCTTTTCACCAATATGCTTGCCAAGGGAGGAAGGTAAAGCAAGAAATGGCTGTTGCTCCCAATTCAGTACCAAAAGCTGACCTCAAATGTCACACTTGGGTACATCAAACACTTGCAAATTCCACCAGGAAGTACCATCTAATCACACCGGCTTTTCCAATGGACAATCTGTTCATGTATCTCTGGAGGCTTGTTTTTACACAACCACATGCCTTGTCCTGCAGACAAGTTATTCAAGTACGTGTGCATGCAGGCCAACATCCTTCTCTTCAAAGAAATGACAGGGAGACTGCCTGCATGAGCTAATCTGAGAAGCGAGTTCCTTGCTCAGGAGACCTGCATTAACGGTGAAGCAGCCTGTGAACCAAGCAGGTAAGAGCTCCTTCATGCTGACTCTGCCACTGGCATAGAAAAGCTACTGCTGCGAACGTGCCTGCAGCTCTGCTACACTGCAGGACAGTCAGGCCATGCAGGCGTCTTCTTGTCAATGCAAGTCATTTTGCAATTTGCCAGAAGGAAGAACAAAGCTGAAACATTCACACCAACACAGCGCCGCAGCATAATTTAATCCCCCCCTCTCCCTGCTTACTCTTCTGCATGAAGAGCAGCATTTGTAAGCTATCTCGGAGTTTATGAATTCCCGGGTTTTGTAAGCTCTGTTACCAGCTCTGAATCAGAGTCCTGTTTTAATTCAGATCACGAAGCTCATCGGCATGATCTTTCATTTAGTAACTCAGTAACCGACACCTAGTTGATGTGGTTTGTAATGGACCTTGAGCAAACACCTCCAAGGAGGATACATCACATAATTCATGCTTCCTCATTCTGCCATGAAAAGCTTTTCTGACTATTCAGTGGCGGTCAAAGGTATACAGACAACAGAAAACAAGCCACTGCCCTCATGAGTTTACATTTAGATACAACATGGAAACCTGTGAGAAACACACAGATGGAAGGACCAAAGGCAAGACACCAGCAAAGTTGGCAGTTTCTGCATATTTGCACAGAGTATAAAGGCAGGACAGCTACTACATGAACTGGGACTAGCAGGCAACCCATTTAAGGTGGAAGTTTGCAGAGTGATTTATATATAATATGGTACTTGGTGCACAAGGATGGAAGCATTACCAAAGTATTTTAAAATCTGAATTTGGCAAGGCTATAAGCCTTCAGTTAACACACTGCTCATACAGCTCTTATTCACCCTGCCCTTCTGCTCCTAGTCACAAAACCAAATTTCTTTGTAACAGGAGTCATGGATGCTCACTGATCACTAAGAAAAACCATACTGGTTTAGGTCCATTATGGGGTCAGTTAGAAATGAACTACCCTTCCAATCGCACAAACAGAAAACTAATACTTTGCTTGCCACAAACCAACAGAAACGCCAAGCTATTTCTCCTCAGATGATGAAGCTCAGTATAGCTGCTGAGCGGTGCAAAGAACATTCAAAACTGAATCAGCTGAGGTTTTTCATGATTGCTTGAGGGACAGGGTGCCTTGTCAGGTTTCTCCACACTTGGGTGCAATACAGAGTCAGCTGGGTACGAACGCTTCCAGGCTCCTTGGGATGGCAAGTCACCATGGACATCTTCCAGCACACGTTTTCTGTCTGTCACTGTAAATGTGCAGTGGAGCAATCTTATTTCTATATTCCATCAGATTTTAGAACAGCTTTCTAGGGCAAATGTTTAAGGCTGGAAATAATTTGAACAAGTTCACCCTGAAAAGCAAGGTATAATAAGTGAAAACCTTACCACCCCCCTTCACCAGTTCTCTCCTTGCATAACGGTCAGTTCTGAACATTAAAGGAGTGCTGGGCAGTGCAACCCTCCTGTCAAATCTTATATGACAGTTGCATGATGGAGCCTGATACAACCTCTTAAATTGAGGCAGGAATGATGGATAGCTCAGGCCTTCCCTGCGGGCAAAGAGAAGGATGCTTTTTGGATAACCCAATTAAAATACAGCACCAACTTCTACTGGACCTTCTCCCAGGACTCTCTGGAAGAGACATGGATTGTTCTAGCAGTATATTAAGAAAGCACTATGATATATAGAATAAAATAAATCAATTTCTCCTTTGTATCTGCTGAGACAAAGACAGAGCAACAGAGAGCATCTGAAAAGTTTGTTGGGTATGGGTCTGAGATGGCTGAAGGAACCAAGAGGGAGCATATGGATGCCGGGTGGAGGAGTCAGGATGGATGGGCTCTCCTGCAGCACTCCACAGGTGTGGGCTTCCCACTGAGGATGCAGGCAAGAGCTTGGTCACAACTGTTTTATTTAGCTAAAATTACACACTTAAGCATGTATACAGCAGGGATTAATTCCATTTTAGCTCTGCCTCTAATACATCAATGCAAATGTAAACTTTTGGTAAGCATAAGTAGATGGAAAGGGTATAGGATTTCAAAGCAATCATAACAGGTTACATTACTTTTGAGGAATCCATCTGTATTCAATCCTTCTCCTAATGTTCCCTCTCCCTGACAAGTCTCTTCAGCTGGCTCGTATCACTATTTGAATGTTTTGTGGCGTGCCTCTGAAGAACGCTTTCAACATCTATTAGGAGGAAAACATTAAAGGAACATGGAGTCTAACAAAAAAACCTGGTCACTTCTGATCTGGGAGGGGAGGCTGCTTTAAAAGGGATACAGGCACACTCAGAGAGATTTGAAATGTCAGCTAAAAACCTCACACACTGAGTTCTATGTGCTGATAAGGGCGATAAAAGGAAAGGTGAGCATTTAAAGTTAGACTTCACAAAAATTCCTGCAGACTTCCTGAATTTAATTTTATTTTTCAGACAGAAAAGGGGATGAACGTTTTTGAAATGAACACAGAACATTTCACACATTACAGAAATAAAGCTCCATGTCTCTTCTGCAGCTCTCAGTTGCTCAACCCTCAAAATAATCACATAGGGAACAATTATAATAGAGATCACAGTGACCCAAGTAAGTCATCCTGACCAGCTGCCTTTTCTTTGCATAAAGTCCTCCAATGATCACTGTAAATCCTGATAATGCTGACAAGGGCTAAAACTGTTGTAGAAAACCAGCAAGCATCTGCTTAGAGCTTCCTTCTACCTGTTAAGAGTTTATTTTGAATGATGTCTTGGCTGCATCCCATTGCCAAATTTTTCACCCCTCCAACAAAGACAGCACTTTGAACATTAGCACCATCAGATCTTGGAGCTTCAGTGTAAGTTAGAAGAGAAGTAAGGTCTTCTTTGGTCCTCCTGTGCTATCTGGAATTCCCAGTGCACTGCGAGTCCATAAAGGCATCCTTTTCCTTCTGGCCTGGGATCCCCAGTCTCTTTCACACAATTTCACCTGATGGCTATTTCAATTTTAAATTAAAGATGCAAAGTCCTCTCAGTTTTTGCCAAACATCTGCTCCCTGCTCTATGCAAAAAACACAGGGGCGGCAAGCTCTGGGGAAGAACTGCATCACCTTCACCATCCATGGTGGAAGATCTTACAGATCCTGCCCACAGAGCCATATCCATGCAGTACACTCCCTTTGCTTCTCAACAGTTACATACCTCCTTCATTGAAGTTCTTCATCAAGCATGGGAAAAAAAAAATCAACTAAGGCAAGAAGGAAACTGCCTGGGAGATGAAAGGCCTCCAGGTAACTAACTTCTGGAGAATTTAAATTTACACCGGAGGGAATAAGTTGCACAATGCTCTATTGGCAGGTCTGAAGAGACATGGGCTTCCCAAGTCTGCTAGCAGTTCCAGTGTGGCTGGAACAGCTCCCAGTCTAACAGGGAAGCTAATCAGATCTATCAGTTTCCATTGCTACCATCTTCTCCAGCTCCACCACTGAAGTTTTATGACACTGACATTTTCTGGAAGAAATGTTTTACTCAAAAGAACTGAAGCTGTGATGGAATCCAGGCAGGCTGGCAGTCCTCCTTTTGCAAGGGTCCTCCATCTGCCTGGCCCTGAGATAAACGCATCTCCAAACACCCTGGTGGCATGGTGAGGCACCTTCAAACCCCTGCACTACCAAGGAAGCAGCTGCTTGAGACATTAGATTAGCAAACCCAAGAGATAAAGACTCATGAAGCTGACAATCACAATGCTTTCTGCTTATGCTCCCTCTAAACAGTGCTTCCAGAAGATATCCCCCTGTGACACACTTGGAACCTACAGTCACCATGGTGGGTAAGGAGCTAATTTTTAACACAAGAAATCCCGTTTTCTAGAAAGCTTGAGCCCTGAGGCAGCTGATAATCAGCAAAATTCATGCGATGCCTTGGAAACTCTGAGCTGCAGAAGACATGGGGATGTTGGTAAGTCCCAGGGACAGATACCATGAAGCGGGCTCTGCAGAAACTGAAGATCTCTCACCGCAGCCAATGGCAGGTGGAGCAGCTCCTGCACAGCAAGGAGGAACCCCTCAGCAGGACACGGTTCCTCCTTTCCTGCTCTGGTGGGCAGTGTTTGAGCTGAGGGACGGTGCCCAGAGACCATAGACCAGGGCTGCAATCCACTGAGGCCCAATTACTGAGTCTCTGTGCTGCCACCCTGCATTTTCACAC